ACAATTTGTAAACAACTGCAGATTACTGTCATTAAGAACCGTATATTGACAATGCCAGATGTAGCGCCCCATTCGTTTATTAGAATTTTCTGAATATTATATTATTATTTAATAACATTTTATTTGATTAATTCCTTTTATTTATATTATTTGCTCGATTATTATAATAATTGCTCGTTTTTGCCATGTATGATTTATCTGCTTTAATATTATTTGTTAGATGGGTTAGTTTATTTTTATTTTTGTGTATGGCTAGTTTAGAATTTATTTAGCGATTAGAGTATTCGTTCGACAATTTCCGGTTCAATCGCGTAGAACCGCTTTCGACCACTTTCGACTCGTTTAAAGTCTTTTTAATCCGAGCTTTGAGATTTTACTTTTTCCTCAATCCAACCTATTAATCTCGTCCCTAATGTTTACCACGTAACCGACCCTAAGGCCCTTTTTCATTAACTGACCCGAACACCCCATGGCATGGAGATTTTACTTTTTCTTAAATTTTGAAATTGAATTCATTTTTGGCTAAGTCACGACGGCTGCGTACAAATCCCGGACAGACACTCGTCGCCGACATGTGGAGTTCGAGGTAGGTGATTTCGTTTGGGTTGTTCTGACTAAGGATAGGTTTCCAGCTCATGAGTATAATAAACTGTCTGCTCGTAAGATTGGGCCGGTTGAAGTGGTTGAGAAGATCAACCCCAATGCTTATCGCCTCCGCCTTCCTTCTCATATCCGTACTTCTGACGTTTTTAACACCAAACATTTGGTACCTTTTACAGGCGACAACTCGGACGGAGACGAGACCGGTCCAGATTCGAGGGCGAATCCTTCCCAACCGGGGGAGGATGATGGAGACGAGACCGCAATCGCATTTTTAAATAAATACGACAGGCTTCGAGTTTAAGTCATTTATTATTAATTTGCTTATTATGCTATTTCCTTTTATTTTAGGTAATTGAAATAAATATCTTGCAATATGTTAGGCAAGATACTAGAATAGGACTCTTTCTCTTATTATTTACTTGAGAACTATGATGAATGAAAGCAGATTATTATGAATTGAATTTTCAGTGCGTGTTTTCTTGAGAGAGTATCTCATCTTATTCCTATTCGTACTACGCTCTACATCAAAGAGTCACCTCCTCAGCTTCTCTTAGAAGAAAAAAGAGATCTGTAGAAATCTGAAATGTTCTTGCCAATGTCCTCCTGTGATGTCAGGACACAGCCTTGAGCAGTGACCAACTTGATATGGCATTGAGTTTCCTCATTTGAAGGGTGTAGGCATGAAAGAAACGAGTGTTGGCATCCCCCTCCCTCAACCATTTGTGTCTTGCTTTCTGTTGCCAATAACTTTCTTCTTGAGAATGTACTTTGTTCAGCTCCCTTCTAGTCTTAATCCAATCATCCTTCTTATCCCCATCTTTGTCTGCATTCAAAACTTCAAGCTTGTGAGTAAGCTCTGCCAAATGTTTCTGATGTTGGGATTGAAAGGAGGAGCTCCAGATTAAAAGTGCCTTCCTTGTGTTTTTTACTTTTTCCTTTAGCTGGAAAAAAGGAGTGCCTTCCACAGATGAAAGCCAAGAATTTTACACAACTTCTTTGAAGCCTTCCTTACTGATCCACCTTTTGTCAAAATGAAAGGAGGATTTACTTCTTTGCCTTTGCCTTCCCATATCAAGTAGCAGCACAGAGTGGTCAGATGAACTCCTGATAATATTGTGGACCACAGCATTAGGGAAAAGCTGGGACCAGCCCAAAGAACCAAAAGCCCTATCTAGCTTTTCTTCCACCAAGTCAAGAGCAGGTCTATTGTTGCACCAAGTGAATGCATAGCCTTCAAATTTGATTTCTGACACTTCAATAAAATTGATAAAGTTTTGAAATCCATGGCAACTGTGAGTTTTTC